AGCATCTACGTCTTCAGCTCCTGAAACCCTCCCACCGTCCCATACCTTCCCCATCACAGCCCTCGTGTCCACCTCGGGGCCTGTGCACCCATTTCACTGCATCTCCATCCCTGCCATCCCTGGCCATGTTCCCTACCCTAGTTTTTGAATAATTGGTCCTTTCATAGGAAAAGGTAGCCACATTTAATAGCATCATAAAATTGATGAAGTTTTCATCATAAAATTTCTGGGTCACGGGAAACAGCTCATGTCGTCCCTGCTTCCCGCTCCTGATTTATGTTGGGGAGGCGGCGTGCCACCTGCTCCCAAAATTATAACCGACGTGATGAATCTCCCTGGTTACTCTCTGTGGTTTTAAAAAGCAAAGCCAAGTGTTCTGGTGTCCTTGTGGTAAGTTTTAAAAGAAATTCAAGAGGCACTTCCTTTTTGTTTGGCAGCTCAGCAGGACACGACCTACAGTGCAAAACTGAGGAGCACGGCTTAAAAACAGGGTCTCAGCGAGACAGGTCACCCGCCACTGAGCAATGAACAGCAGAGGACGGAAGACGTTGCCTTCTCGAATTTTGCCCAGGAGCACACTGGTCTACGTGTAACGAGGCAAGCCAAGGGCACATGAAAATGACTTCTCTGCCATCACAGACAATCTGGGGGACTAACAAAACCTCCTGACTTTGATGCGGCTGCTTGTGTTCACAACAAAGGTGACCTTCCTTATCTGCAAGTGACCAGCCATGGCTGCACCCACTGCCACAGAGAGAGCAGGACTCAAGCACGGAGGTACATCTGGGGCATCCGGCCCTGGGCCTTCGGAAGGGGGCCTAGGTGGGTCATTTGTCACCCAGCACGTCCGTGGGTCTTAGATCCTACACAGACACAGCGGTGCACCAGTCTCCTGACTTGGCCTCTTACTTCCTGATTTAGAGGTCCTGAAGGCACTTCCGGTTCAGCAGGTCCCAAACTGACCCCCTTATCTCCCGTCGCACCTGCCACACTGCTCTTCCTACCTTACCTCAGGTAACAGCACCAACCCCGCTGCCCAGGCCACTGCCTGTGCAAGCACTTGAAGCAGCACCAGCTAAAAGGTCACTTCTTTTGAAAGTTCAATGTATTTTGGGGAATGTTGTATCTTTCTTTTATTTATATGTTTATAATTTTAGCTCCCACTTATGAGTGAGAACATGTGGTATTTCTCTTTCTGTGACTGGCTTATTTCATTTAATCTGATTTTCCCTAAGTTCATCCATGTTGCTGTGAACGGCAGAATTTCATTCTTTTTTATAGCAGAGTAATATTCCAAGGAATGGGTAAAGGGCCACGAATAGCAATGACAGTGTATACTGTTGAATATAATTATTATTCTGATGTGAGCATCACACATTGCACATTGAGTATCAATGTTCAACTCTGTACCCCACAGATATGTACAATCAACTTTGTTACAATAAAAAAAAAAAAAAGAATAAGTAAAAGGTTACTTCTGGGGGAGAAAGCTGGTCAGCCCGGGGCGTTCTTCACCCGTCTTAGCTGCCTTCCCGCTCAGTCGTCAGGTCGGGTGCGGGCACCTGTGGAAGCCCTGGACGCCCGTCCTGCACGTGGGATGCCTCGGACATGCTCCACCGGCTCACAGCTCAGCCCTCCCTGCATGGCACGAGGCTCTCCACAGTCCAACTCCAACCTGCCCTGCTGGGCCCACCCTCCACCCTCTTCCCTGCACCCGCAGTCCTGCCACACAGCTGCCTGCCTTTGCCCCCCTGCTCCACGCCTCCGCTCCTGCCATGGCCACCGACTGAAATGTCCTTCCCCGCCTCTCCTTGCCCCTTGCCGAACTCCTAAACACCTCGGCCTACCTCAAATAGCCCCCACCCCTCTGCAGAACTCTACTCAATGGCCTCAAAGTTAGCTGCTCTTTCTTCTATGAGTCCAGAAATCTCCATACAGTCCTCCACTCAAAAAGCACCTGAGAGTTATCTGTTTCTACATCTGTCTTCTTGCCTAGAGCGAGCTCCCTGGGAGGAGTCGGCTGATTCTCCTGTTTCTAGCACCTGCCACAGAGCCTGGCATTTGGCAGGTACACAAACGTTTCTGGAACTGAACATTCAGGTCTGTGGACTAAAACCCACTTTTTTTTTTTTTTTTTTTAGTGAAAACAAAATTTTTTTTTTTTTTTTTTTTTTTTTTTATTTTTTTTTTTA